GTGCAGAACAGCGGTTCTATTCTACGCACTATCGATGTAAAGTGGGCGGAGGTGACAGCCATGATGTTTTCAGATATGGGACATATCACCTCCGTAGGTGGAGCGCCTCCCTGAACCACCGGACAGCTCCGAGGGGGCCGTCATGATACGCATGGACACACATTTGAAAGGACCGGTCCTCCATCAAAAGCAGCTGAAACTGTTTCTGGAAGCAGGAGTGTCATCCTGGGCCGGTCTTTAGGCCGCAAGAGTCGGAACTTCTTCGCTGAGACCATCACCGTAGCCAAGTGTGCTACACCGCCCATATCTGTCAATCCTTTGCTCTCGGCATCTCTCGGCGACGTCACACGCTTGCTCAGCAAAGGTTTTGCCAACTGCGAAGGCATCGCTTTCAATAGGAGAATGTGGTTTGTCACTTCGCAATACCTCTGGGGAGGCGAAGAGCAAAGTACCAGGTTTGTGAAAAGTCTTGTCGGACGCGGTTTTTAACACCAGGCACGCATCCAAATCAAAGAGCATGTGTATCCTCTGCCAGACTGCTGTCGCTTCCACGACTGCGCCTGTGCGATGTTTGATGGGCTCACATCATTGTGTGAGATGAGATGTCCAGGTAGATGCAAATGTCGAAGGGCTAGACAGGTATCCTGAAAACCTGGCAGCTCTTCGCAGTCAAATCACTGCTCTGCGCCCGTTTCGCCAATGTGGCTCCAACAACTTCGACGACGAGACCCTCAACAAAATTCTTCCCACAGTGGATATATTGCCCAAACAAGCGCAAGTTGCGCAAGTCTGCTGCAATCTGTAGCCATTCGCTAGCGCTTCCCGATCCTGTGCCAGTTGATCTGGTAGAAAGTTCTTTGAGAGTCGCAAGACCTTTGCGGCCACGTCTTGGCCTTTCCAGAAAGACGGTGTCAGTGTGGCCAATTCCTTGGCCAAGGCTGTCTTTCATCTCAAGATCGTCCAGTTTCACTACTGAAGTTTGCTGGGCTGCTTTTTGCAATCACTTTGGCTGTGACATGATCTTCTTGAACTCAACAAGTTTGGTAAGTCAAGTGTCTTCCTGATAAATTTGTCAGCAGGCGCCTTGAGCGTTGCAAAACTGCACTTCAGCCCTGGCAAGTCCTTGGACTTGCTGAACGCCAACGCTGCAAGTCAAAGGGAATCTAATCGAATCTTTTGGCTGACTCAACACATAAAACTGCCAGGAAAGTCATGAGAAGGACGGCAATCAACACCCGCGAGCACACGATAGAACAATCTCAACAACAAATAGCAATGCAACACGGGGTTTGAAAACACCCCATTTCCAATACCTCGAAAAACTTGTTATCCTTTGTTTACTCTTTTCTCAGGTGTTGGGCTCTTTGCGCACAAGAACTGTCAAATTAGCAGGTTTCCATGCATGTGAAAGCATCTTTGGTGGTCCTACTTCAGGATCGCGTAGCACTGCTTGCACCAAGGCGTACACGGTCTTTGGTGGTCAAGACATGGCAGTGGCAAAGATCAGATATAAACAGCTAAACAAGACCACCGCGCCGCACACTTCTGCCCTTGAAAAGGCCTAATGAAAACAGTCAAATGGGTCCTTGCCCACCAGGGATGATTTTTGCTGCATTTCCTTATCGTTTTCGGTATCGTTTTGTTGTCGTTCCAAACATCTCTGCACGTTGCCATTTTCGTGGTTCATGTACTGGCAAACTATGAAAATATCTGGTCCCCCTCGACCATACAAAATGGCTGCAGCATATGGACCAAACAGCCCAGTCAGTGCGGTTGCTGAATGGAAAGTGAGATTTGAGAGCTAGGTTCTCACCTCTTCCTTCAACAGGGGGAGTGTAGGAGGAGGATAGTCAACTCTTCCATTAACATTACCTATCTAGTGTTAATGGGACAGGTTGAAGCCCATGAGATGTGCAGGTATTTAATCATTATCGGCGGTTTTTTACACTTATCGTTTTCTGGGGTAGGAATGCATTAGTAGTGTTAAGGTGCATGCCAATACTAAACTGCTGAGCGCGGAGTTATTTCAATCTCTCACATGGACATGGGCTAGCTGGCTATGAGAATTGTGATGAGGTGCTAATTAGATTGCAAACCCTGAAGACATTGCGATCGGGTCATCGTTTGCTATTCCTACTTACCACTTGAGCTGGAGCAGCAAAAAAGGAAAACTGACTTCAAGACATGATAGCCTGACACGGCAAATTGATACATTTGCTGCAACTGATGCTTGTTCCTCCTATTTCACCTTCAGATCATGAGCCAAGTTGTGAGGACAGAAACAATGAATCAATGTGATTGATACATTATATAGATACATCCCAAATCTGAAAACATCATTGCTGCTACCTCCACACAATCTGCCCACTTTGCATCGATAGTATGCAGAATAATGAATAGGACCGCTGTTTTGTACGGTCCAATGTCTGTTGAAACTGCTTGTGGTGAATTGATATGTTTCAGCACATGCAAGTTCCAACAACTTCCAGTAACAGCCAGCTGACTGTGAACTTCTTGTTAACCTCAATATAACCAAACTATATACATAACACACGTATACAACATATATAGATATATAACTACACAACGTACGGCATCGTTTGGCATATTATAACATACACTGACGCAGGTGTCACCAAATACAAATCGATTGAACGCCAAACAACATAACCAATGACTGTCACCTTGGTGGATAGTTGCTTCCGCTGCTCCTCTGCCAAGAAAAGGTTTGTAGTGAGTCTGGCCATGTTAAGCATCTACACATATCTGAATGCTACCAACGTTGCCCGGTCTAAGCGTTGTGGCGGTGAAACCTACATCATGTTGACTGTTGGTCAAGAAACTACCAACTTTGGATTGTAAGAAGCTCTTTATACATCGGCCCAAGTTAACATGCTAGTTGGTGGAAGCGTTCAATCATGTTTTTCTGTAAGACCAAAGCAACTTAAAGCAACTTCCACCGTTGCGTCTCGCTTCCTGAGTTGCTTGGGGTGTGCGGGCGACCACTTAGGACGACTCCCCTCCCCAACCCCGTCTCCATATCAAAAAGTGTCTCAAACACTCGGCTATGGCACAAAAGTCTTTATTGACTGTTACGCTTCGGTGAAAAAGCAACGGAAGGAACAACGACGCCGAAAACGAACACGAACAGAAGCTTTGGCGATCCCGGCCAGGAAGAGCAGGTGATACGTACCCAAAGTCGAGGGAAGATGGTGGTACCACCCTCCGGCCTTGATCAAGTCATCTGGGGACCGCGATGTTGGCGTCAGGGGCCGTCATCCGAGGGTACCCAAAACAAATTGGAAGTGGTCCTCAAACATGCTTTCTAAAGACATTCTATATAAAAACCTTGAATCCTATCCTATCTATTGAGGATGTCTTCCGTTTCGTGTGCTACAATGGTTCCTGTGTGGCAGAAGTGCGACGTGTGTCACACAGGAAGCATGGGTCCTCCACCGGGGGAGGGCGGTTTTTCCCACCGGTTGGGTGAACAGAATCGACGACGAAGGCGGAGGTCACCATGGCCATGGATTTGGTCCGGGTTTTGACCCGCCAAATCACACAGCCAGTAATTAGTAAGGCCGTGGTACTAACGTGGTTTGGCGTCATTGGGCCATTTCACCCGCCTTACTACTGGTCGTCGATACTGGTCATTCCAAAACGTCGACTGCACACGTCCAGCGATTGGAGGCGAGGGACCGGTGGGTGGAGGAACATCATTCAACTGACGAACATGAATCAGTCCTTTGAAGAATGAAAACTTCGGGATCCCCTCCACCATCCTTGACTGTTGTAATGTAGACTCTAGATTAATAAACCCCCCCTTTGAAGGGCCGTGGGTATTAATCAAGAGTCTGACATGATGCTTTCTCCGACAGGTCCAATCCGGTGATCGGTCCAATCCGGGGCGGTGAACCCCGGTCCAACTCGGCGATTCGCCGGTGAATCGCGTGTCTCATGTGTCTCGGGAAAGGGCTGAAGACCAAGACAAGAAACGGCACGGCTCCGCACGCATTGGGATGTAGGAAGTGCACATGTAGGAAAACAAACACAAAAAACGAAGTTCAACAGCATGCAAGAATCTTGAAGATTCTTCAACAAGGAACCACAAATCCCCGCAAGACCACCAACTTAACTTCCCTACTTGGACCTCACGTTGTACAACCCCCACCACGGCAAAACCCTTCCAAACGACGATGGCATCACTGGCATCCGTCTGCGGATCCCGGCACGGTGTTGGGCTTAAAACCTTCCTGGCCAGCGATGGAGTTGATCAACTCCACGGCCGTGGACCAGAAAAAATTCAAAAGCTTCTTGTTACTACTAGCGTGGCACTTGTTCCTAATAGCTTCTTGTTACTACTAGTAAGGCACTTGTTCCTAATAGCTTCTTGTTACTACTAGTAAGGCACTTGTT